TCTGAGAGATAAGACTCAAACCACTGGAGTGCAGTTCCTGAGATGCCCTTTGCCAATAGGGTTGAGAGGAGGATCTGGTGGTTAACCATATCAAAAGCAGCGGACAGATCCAGCAAGATAAATATTGAAGATTTGGAAGCTGCTCTTGCTAGTCTTAGGGCTTCAACAACCGAGAGCAAGGCAGTCTCGGTTGAGTGTCCACTTCTGAAGCCAGACTGGTTGCAGTCCAGGAGGTTTTTCTGTGTGAGAGAGTCAGAGACTTGGTTAAACACAACTCGTTGAAGTGTTTTTGCAATGAAAGGAAGAAGGGATACCGGTCTGTAGTTCTCTAAAAGAGCTGGATTAAAAGTGGGTTTCTTAAGAAGTGGGGCCTGTTTAAATGCTGAGGGAAAAACACCAGTGTGAAGGGATGTGTTAATGATGTGAGTGAGTGCAGGTACAACTGCAGGAGAAATGGTTTGAAGGAGATGTGATGGAATAGGATCAAGCGGACAAGTAGTAGGATGATTGGAAAGGATGAGTTTGGAGATTTCTGATTCAGAGAGTGGAGAGAAGGACTGAACGAGTGAATTTTTGCTGGTAAGATGTGTTTGACAGTTTGTGGTGTGGAGAATTGTGTATTGATGGTTGTAATTTTATTAATGAAGAATGTGGCAAAGTCATCAGCTGTTAGAGTTGATGCATGAGGGGGAGGAGGAGGACAAAGGAGGGAGGAAAATGTTTTAAAGAGCATGCGAAAGTTAGACGAATTGTTCATTTTGTTGTGATAATATGTCCTTTTAGCAGTGGAGACATTAGCAGAGAAGGAAGAGAGTATTTAGTGGCCGATACACATTCATGTCAGTAGTATTTTTTTATTTGCGCAATATCCTTTCTGCAGCCCTGAGCTTAGAACGATGCTCGCGGAGAACATCAGATAGCCAAGGGGCAGAAGGGGGTTGTACAGGCTGGCCTGGAAGATAGGGGGCAGACAGTGTCTAAACAAGATGTAAGAGTGGAGCAGAGAGTGTCAGTAGCACTGTGGGTATCAAGTGATGAGAACTGCGAAGATGAAACAACATGTCCTGCAACCAATACGCCCACATAGGTTGTTTGTCCAAATCCCTGAAATACGACCCATCAGAGCATATTCTACAATTGCGCCCCTATCGGCAACAGGACACTTCCATATTAATGCTTTGTACTCTTTTATCTGCACCATAATTCTGGTTTCGTATAGCTCAGTTGGTAGAGCATTGCGTTATAACAATATGCAATCATGTGATCATGGGTTTGATTTCAGAGAACGCACGTGCTCATAATAAGTATATGCACCGTAAATCACAATTTTGCATGATTTCTGTGAGGGTAGGTTTAGGGGCGGGGTTAGGTGTGGTCATTCGTACGAATTTGTATGAATTAGCCACCTAGTAAAATATGTACAGATTGCCGTGAGATCGGGTTGGACCATGTAAAAAGTCCACAAACTGCATTTAAATAAACACGCATTTTGATTGGTAATGACAGTCATACGTCATTTCATGACGACAAACGCAACACGACACTGTCATTATTTTTACGCCTGCTAGAGGGCACTAAACTTTAAAACGTAAATATAGGTCATAATAAGGTGCTTGCACAAACGACCTATTGGGTCGTTTTTTGTTGGAGGACAGTCTGAGATGAAACCATAGCACATAGCCGAGAGTGTGAGAGTGAGCATAGGTTATGTCAAAAGATGACATGAGGAGGGTGTTGTGTCAGGAACCATGTTGAGGTTAAGAGTGAGGAGGAAGTGATCCGAAGTGTGCAGTGGAGTAACCAGCACATGATCAGTGTAGCAGTGTCGTGTGTAAATAAGGTCCAGTTGGTTGCCTGATTTGTGAGTAGCCGTAGTTAACACTCACTTGAGATCAAAAGAGACAAGCAGAGTGTGGAAGTCTGCAGCCTGAGGTTTATCTAGGTGGACGTTAAGGAGTTTTATTTTAGGTTTTGATGTCCTTAAGAATATATATTTGCGGTAAAAGTACCAAAAACCATCTAAATATATTTTTACAGATCCTTTCTCAGGAGCTCTGCTTTGAACAGGTCGATTTTGGCCTGTCTAATTAATATTCATGAGCCTCTCTTCTGATTGGCACAGCCAGGCCAACCACAGGTAACTAGGTATGCTGTAGCCTGCTATGGCAAATAGAAAAATAGAAACACCTGTAAATAGAAACACCTGTAATGATGGCCACTGCTGAGGGAAATGTTTTCCGGCCTTACGTGTTTGAGCCGGACTCAGACCCCGAATCGGCGATGACAGGTGACAACCAACCACCTCATCAAATGCGCTTAGAACAGGATGTTTCAAAATGGCAATTCATTTTAATTATTTTTTTCAAAAACCGAATGCAGTAATCTACGTAACTATTGCTTTCCAACTGATTCAACACGTCAGCATCAAGTTAGCAACACGTTAGCATTGCATAACCGTTTACAAACTATAATTTCAGATTATGCTGGCTCCATAATGTAACATAAAATATGTGAGAAGTTTACTTACGGGTGGCAGACATTACATAATGCCTGTTATTACAGTACATACAATTTCACTTACGACATAAACAGAGTAAGGAGAGATGACTGAGGACGATGGCGAATTGCAGATCCTGAGCACCTCTGACAAACATCTAATCTTGTAAAATGTGTGGTAAGTACTGCCGCTCCATAAACAAAGTACATGCGATCGCGAACCTCGAAAGTGAAAGTGAAACTAAAATCGTGCATTCAACAGTAGTTTCAATGCCAGGCATAATAGTGGCTCCCTGCCTGATGCCTGCAATTTAAACAGTAGAATTACCCAATGATATAACTGCGAGAGAAAATATTGAAATACATATTTTCCACGTGAAGTCTATCAGCCATCGGCAATGGACGATGGCATCGTCTATTGGCCCAACCCTAGTTCGGAAGCCTGTGCAATGATGTAGTGTTCTGACATCCATCGACTGAACAGCGTTTTCTTGACATGTTTCCATGTTGTTGTTGTTCAGCAATGGCATGGACGCCATGTTGTCTGGGGGTTTGGCAAAAGGAGAGTGGGACTGTGTGCAGTGCGCCCCCCTCACTCATGCCCCCTCAAAATTAATGAAAGCATGACGCCCCTGACTGTTACCAATCAAATGAAATAAGTATCAACAAAATGTTTCTTTACAAAGGTGGCACAGATTCTGCATCTGAAGTGGCATTTAGATGCATTAACACAGATTGTTTTCAGGACATGCAGGACATGAATGCATTTAACCTGCAAGTACAAATGCATTAATAATGTTTTGAAATTTTAAAACAAAAAGTTTAATACTAATTTTTGAAATGGTTTGGGGAAAAAGGGGAAAATATACTTTAAATATAAACCTAAAATCGGCAGTAGGTGGCGGCAAATTACTGCATGAGTGAGTCATTGAGTCATTCATTCAACCGATTTGTTCAAACTGTTGATTGATTCAGTAACAAAACACCGTTGTGTGTTGCTCAGAGACGTAAAACAGTTCCGATGTGGCTTTGTTTGAAACTATTTTCGTTGACGAAATAGAGCAAAAACAGGAACTTGTGTCTAAAATGTAAATCAGTTAGTATTAACATTGTTTATTGGACTGTTTTATAAAATCAGTATCACATTTCCAATCGTGCTGATATTTGGAGAAAAAAACTGTACTTTTCGTGTGATATTAACTATATCAGATGATATAAATATAAAAGTCATATGGGCGCATTGTTGCCTCTATATCTTGAATTTTTGGGGAAATTCTAAATGTATTTTAATAGACTAAATCGCACAGTGAAAGCGTGAACTCTAATAAATGTGCTTGCACACAGTTGTCTAACCTAACCTATCTCCTATTTTAAGCGTGCACTCTGGGTGTTTTTTTTGTTTAGTTTTTTTTTGCAATATACTCGTTAATGTCAAATATTATAGTAGACGATATATATTGCACGCCCCTTTTCTGTTAACAGTAAAAAAAAATATATATACATTTTTTTTTTTTCCTGTGATGCGAAGCTGAATTGTGGGCATCATTACTTACTTAGTTTGAGGTATTGTGTGTGAAAACCTTTATTAGGCTACTCATTCAGTGCTTTTGTTTTTCAGGTCGATGTGGTTTATAACCTCCCACAATTCACAACAAAACTCTACAAGAAGTGTAAGTTTAAATCAAATTCATGACTCTGTACCAAATGTATTTATTTCCATTTGCAATATTTAGCACATACTGTACTGTTATTCTGTGCTTCTAACAGGTGTCAGCTCACTCACTATGTCAGCGCACACAAGCTGGGCACACTAACCGGTGGCAGCTGCTTTAGGCAGCGACCTGTTGGGTCAGGCACAGGTTCAGAGGGCAGAGGAGTTTGGCAATAAATCAGCAGACAGAAAAATTCTATCAGGTGATCTTTATGGTCTGGAATATTGAAGTTCCAGAAAAACTGTCTTGAAAAAACCTGGCACACATAAAAAAATAACTCAAAAATTAAAATTTTGTAATCATTTACTCACCCTCAAGTTGTTACAAACCTGTATGAATTTCTTTCAGCTTTTGAACACAAAAGAAGATATTTTGAAGTTGATGTTGGTAACCAAACAGTTGACGGTAGCCATTGTCTTCCATAGTATGAAAAAAAAATTCTATGGAAGTCAATGGCTACTTTTATCTGTTTGGTTACCCACATTCTTTAAAGGGGGCTTAACACACAGTTTCACCCAATCTCATGTTAATCTTTAGTACCTATAGAGTAGTACTGCATCCTTCATATCTCCAAAAAGCCTTTAGTTTT